AAAGTCTTATAACCTGACATGCTTGATGCCTTCTTGGGATAATCATCAACAGAGGAAGCTTGTTACTGAATTGGAATGAGACTTCTTTTGATCTTGGGAGAAAAAGAAAACAGTTCAAGAGGGGAGGTGAAAACATTAAATCACTTATATTCAAGAGAACACTATAACACCTTGCTTTTCTGCTTTCACCAATTATATTATTGTTGTTATGTTATGTAATAAAGACATGTGAGGAGTACATGACTTGTTTACATTTCTGCTACGTGTTAATCAGCCAATCTAAGATCTTGACCAATTACCAACTGGAAATTCTAATGTAACAAAAAATTCAAGATCAAATTGGGATAGACAAAATTCCTCAAAAATTTTGAAAATTTGTTGACACACTTAAAAGAGCTGCTGCAAATATTTGATTGATGGAAAGGATCATATGTCCACATCTACAGACCAGAACACTAGCTTATCTACCTGCCTTCAGCAAAGGTGTTCATTTATGATGAACCCAAGGTTCTTATGGAGCTTGGGAAATGCATTCACTAGTGGACTCTTCTAGAATTCCAGACCTTAAGGAAAAATAAAGGAGGACATTTTTCAACAGGTTTCTTCTTCCCAATAAGGTGTTCTTGCCATAGATCAAATGGATGAGTTTTTGGATATTTTGTCACTAAAATATCCAAAAGGTTTTGAAGAAAGAAAAGTAGACAAGTGGGAGAGACCTTTGCCTTCAGGAATATGTGTTATTAAAGAAAGTGTTTAGACTTTATTATTGAAAAATAAAAGAACTTTTCAAGAACATCTGTTTTTTGGGTTGGCAAAAGAATCAGTAGGAAGAGTATTATAATAGTTCAATTATAATATATTATATATACTGTATATAATAAGAATTAAATTTATAAGTCAAATAACTTGACTTTAAATTAAATTCTGTTAGCAAAATATAATTTTATGATTACATAGTAGCTATTATATTAATAATATAATAATATGTTATGATTGAAATGCTATTATATATACTTGATACAAAACAGTAGGCTCCAGTTAGTATAACATTAAATTTATTAAATAAAACTTTGAATATCTTATAAAATTCTATGAAATTTAAAATTTAAAAGTTTTTATGTTAAACAAATTTATAAATAATGAATTATTTATTTAAGAATAGTTATAAAAATCAAGGTGTCAAAATTTTCAAATTTAATGAAATTTTACTGTAAGTAGCATTTATTATGAGAAACGAGTTTACATAATATACAAACCATAATTTTATTAATAAAAATAAAAAGCTTTATATATAATAACCATTTCCAATTATGGTAATTATAATAGTTTGTAAAGCAACTTTTATTTTACATATTTTTTAAATACAGTATTAAAACAATTGATTTTGTTAATTAGATAAAGTCCTGCTTTACTACGAATAAATTAATATTGATATTTATCTAAACGTCGTATACGTATATACAGCATAGGTAGAAACAGCAAAGTTCAAAGGGAGAGTTATTCAATATGAGAAATCTAATTTATAAGATTACAAGTTGTTAGCATATGTAATATCGCATTTTTGTGCGATTCTAAGGTATTTTCTATAAGAGAATGTATATTTCTAGGCTAACAAAGATCACGAAGGTTCCATGTTCGTAAAGTTTTGGAACTTGATCTCTATATTTTACATTCAAAAAAAAAAAAAAAGTACGCAAAAATGAACGTGCATGTCCCTTTGGTTAAAGATAGCTGATATTTCAACTGAAGTAATAGGTTTAATAGTGTTTATAGTTTATTATCTAATTATCCAAAATGTTTAGCAAATTCTATCCTAAAACCTGATTCAACTCTTCCACCGGTGCGTTGATAATTGAAACCACCTTATTGAATGATCCGTCATTTTCGTCGTCATATCGCAACGCGCTAGATAGTTTTATGGCATCGTCCGTTGTCGGCGAATGATCGCCGGTGTTAAATTTGAAACTTGATGGTAACGATTGTGATGATGATGTGTACTTAGTTGTGGTTGCGTCAATTTCATTAGATGGATCCGATGACGAAATCAATTCCGGGAGATCTTTTGGAGACTTTGGTGGAGAAGGTGGTGGCGTCGGTGTTGGTGCAACCTGCTCGGGAGACAGAAACGAACTGTCTGATAGTACCGGCGCAGAATTTCGTTTGCTCACATCTATCGCCGCCGAGGTAATTGCTGTGGAATTAATGGCATCAATAGAATTAGAGGGCACTTTTTGTATATCAGATTCGTTATGATTATGGTTAAGTATTCCTTTAATTCCCATGCTGGATGTTCGTCTACGAATTGACACCGCCTGCCCCCATTTTTTGAGGGTTGATGTCGGTTGACTCGCAGGAATAAGAGTATCGGAAGACAACGGCTCGTCAGTGATTTCTTCTGAACTGCCGGAAGTTGTCAAGGTTGTGCCGTTTACTCTCGATGAATCGTCATTCCTGCTTTTGAAATGTTTACTGAGGGATCTTAATTTGGAATTGGATCTAAGTAAATTAGGATCACTAAGGGATTCGTGTAATGTCGTTAATGTCCTATTTATTCTTGATTTTGTTGGCCTCCATGACGTGGACGAATCGGGCTCCGGCTTGGCAGAAGATGGGCTGGTATTATCGGGTTCTTCTTCAACAGCGGTTTTGTTGACTTGATTGTCCGATTTTTCTTCTTCATCCTCTTCGGGTTTTACACTTACCGGAGGAACAGTTTCTACCTCGTCCCCTTGGCTTTCAGGCTCTTTAGATTCAACATCCTCCTCCTCCTCCTCCTCCTCACAGATCACGTCACCTTCAAATACGCCACCCTTTCCGAAACTAACGAAAAATGGAGTGTCGTCCATATTTGGTAAGACCAGAGAATCCATAATCATCTCGTGAATTTTGGACTCGATAGCGTTGGTGATTAGTGAGAATTTCAATTGTGTTTCTGAAACTATGGGCTCAATCAACAAATCCAACTTTGGCATCTCATAAAATCCTAGCCATATTCTGTTGGTGGGTGGTGCTTTGATACGCAGCAACATCTTCCCTTGCAGTCCCCTTAACACGACGGCGAGAACGAGCGGGAATTTGATGGGTTTGAGTCGAGTAACGCTGATAGTTGCCTCGGTCTCAATTTCCACACGAAATCCACCGGAATAATCAAGGTTCAATTCCACGTTTAGCTCACCGTTAGCGTTTAGATCGACCAACCTAGGGTTGGTGATGTAGGGAACACCGTCTCCAACCTCTACAGACTTTATCAGTATGTCACTTAAGAAATTTGGTTTCTTTACTTTCTTTACCTTTTTTACCAGCTTTCTTATAAAGTAATCTTTAACCACTTGCGTCTTGTAAACAGAAAGAAATATGCGACCCAAGATCACATTTAACCATTGAGTCTGAATGTGATCATCGCTCGAATAAAGGGTCTTCAGAAGATGATTCATCGTATACTGATCGAATTGGGCCTTATCTTTGACGACCTGTGGTTGTGGTCCCGGAGAGTGAAATTCTAATTTCGAAGACTTTTGCAACGCAAAATACCAATCCTCTTTGTCCACACCCACACTACAGAACAGGTAATAATTTGAGCTTTCAGCTTCTATCGCCATGTCCGCGCAAATTGACATTTTTTTTTTGAGTCTGATGGATGTATTTTTTAGAAAGATTTCGTTATCTGGTAAATGCTCTGGATACATCGATACATCATGATTGGAAACAATGATAATTCCTTTGCAGTCCAATTGTCGTTCGCTGTCATACATGAAGAGGGTATTATATTTGAGCACCGCGAAGAACGAATCCTTGGGTCTTTTCACCTGTGCATTCTTCCCTTCCATAAAGGATTTCACGATATTGCCAAATGTTGATCCATTCTGTGTTGCGGTGCTTGTCTCATGCTCCTTGGTGACACGAAGCCAACCTACTTTGTAAAAGTTCGAGTCATCTTCGGGAGATTTATCGTTCTCCAGTGAAGAATCCTTTATTTCCTGGGATACGTCGTCAAATTTTATTTCCTCAACTTTTTTTGAAGTCCAAGGTCGACGAATTATCAAGAGATTAAGCAATATTACAATTGGAATAAAGGTAACTCCACCAAGCAAGTATATTATAAAGAATGAACCTAACGAAACCATTTTGATGGGAGTGTCACGCACTCGAATGGTTAGCTCGGGAGAAAAGTCACACCGGTTGAACTTTTTTAAAATAAAGATGAAAACACGCACTCTATGAAAAAATCGTTGATTCTTAAGAGTTTGCAGTTACACGTAATTTGAGAGGGTTTAAGCATGAGCGGTTAGCTGATGGACAATAAAAAGAATAATGTACTTTTAAATGAGAGAAAGGTACGACGAAGTTGCATATATATTGCGCAAAATGGCAATGCAAATCGACGTTCGTTTGCAGATCCGGAAATTACTGGTTATCCTTAGGTTTCTAAGAAGATTTTAAAGGTTGAGGGGAAGAATACTTTTCTTTGATCGGTTGGTAGATCAACCCGTTGCATTCGGTGACACGCATGTGATGTGTGTTTATTTTTGAAAAAAAAAAAATTTCATGATTACGTGTTTATCACAAATTCTGGTGTTTCTATTATTATTATTGTTTTTGAATACAGTATGCGATCTTTCGTCTTATGCCTCGCTTTCTCACTCATCAGGTATTCAACAAAAAATGCATGGAATGTTTGCACGCCATCATCTTTAACCTCGATTGCTAATAATTTATTTAAAAAAAAAAATTTCCTAGTTCATTGATTCTGCCGACAATATCCACAGATTCCTTTAAAGTAGAAGGAAAGATTGCATTCAACTCTGTTCTAAAAAGTAAAAATGAGTAACATGCTGCCTTCCTCTTTTTTGAGTATGCCCATTCGAATTACACTGACGACCTGCGTTTGTCAGACATCTCGCAACTTGAACCAACGACCAAGGTAGTGCTAGATGGAGGAAGATACTCAACCTGGATCCGTAGGGACGGAAAATTCGTCATGTAAGATTCGTATGTTGTGCGGTAAGAGGGCCTAGAAAAATCCAGTAACGCGACTTGTTTCGTGCACAGAAATGATGTCCCCTCGGGTTCTTACCTTTTAGAAGTCTTATCGAGGAAATACGTATATCCCAAGGTATGGGGGTTATTATTAATTAGTGATTGTGATTATGCAGTTTTTCCTAAAAAATAAAAAACCTCCAAAAAAAGTTCATACAGATTACTTAATGAGGTTGCGTTCAATAATTCCAGATACGTTTAGATGTCGATTCCGGGAGCGTCAGACCTTCTGTAACAATCACAGGTAGCGAATGGGGAAATTTAGGACCTTCCTTGCCTTATCCGTTAGAATTGTATGCAAGGACTACGGCTGATTATTTCACGGTAACCGCAGTTAATTTGTAAATTATTTACAAACTCCTCTAAACCCCACTGACCTGCATTCTTTTTTTTTATTTTTTTTGTTTGGTTGATTAAAGCCCCGAGAAGGATTCAGTATTGTCAGTCTTTTCGCTAATCCGTATATAATCATGATGGGTTTCAGTGTTGTGTTATTGTTTATAATGCCCAAAATGATGGCTGGATTAGGTATGCGAGTGAGAGTCGGAAATTTGATTCTTTTACACGTGTCCAGAACAAATCTTAATTTTCCATTTTATTCGTGTCATAGATCAAGAAGCGTTACAGGAACTCCAACAAAATCAGTCACAGAATCCTATCGAAATGCCAGACTTTTCTTCTAAAATAGCAAATTATTTAACGAAGGGTTCAAATGACAAGCCACCCAGCAAGAAAAATTGATTATGTATACATGTGACAACTATTTAGAGATTTAAAAATTTATTTGCTATAATGTATAATAAAAAATTTCTTATTGGTTAACCTCTCAACACACCATGTGTGGCTCATATGGTTGGTTCAAGAATACTATGACCCGTGGAGATGCATGATATCTACTATTAAGATGAATCATAAAGTAGTTTTCAATTAATTACTGACTGAGGATGGCCTGAGGACTTGGATTGAGGTCTCATCCTGACAACTCTCAAAACCAATGGGTTGATATTGTTTTAAATTTTATCTCATAAGGCTGATATGTCTCACATTCCATGAAATCAATGAATAAAAAAGAAAACTCAACTGTAATAATGCATAGCACGGTGTGTAGTACTGCAATAATGCATTCACAATTTCCGCGTTAGTTATTTAGAATGAATTTCTAATATGCCTCTTACTTATTTACCCTCTAAATTTCACCACCACCACCACCACCCTGATTTACTTGATTGACCCATCTGCTGAAACTCTGTTCTTCCAATTGTTCTTGGTGTCTCTGCATT